ATGTTATATGCTAATTTTATCTCAATAAAGCTGGGTAGGGAGGAAGAAACCAAACCAAAACCTCTCTCTACCAAAACAAAAGGGTTGACTTCCTGGTAATGCAGGCCTGAGCACCTCTAGGTTATTTCCTAATTTGTCCCCTTTTGTTGTATAGATACCAGAGGGGACATCCAGTTGGTTACAAATATCATCTTTGTGACTGGAAGCAAATCAATGGGCACGTTTTCTCCCACCAGGTCCTTGGACTTGTATGTTTAATTTTTTAAATCAAAGTATCACATGCCCTATGTATTAAAAGCAAAAAACAAAAATGCTAAAAGGCTTATGAGGACAGAAAAATCCTCACTCCATTTCTCTCTTCAGAGGTGGTGCTTTTGTTTTTTTTAAGAATCCAGTAACAAGGTTGTTAAAGGACATGTGTACAGCACTTTACAGTTGACAAAGTACTTTGACAAACATTATTTCATTTACATTTTTCATTTCATTCTCCTTATAGGAGACCTGTGATGCAAGTGTTAGTCCATGTGATGCTGTTCCATAAGACCTTAAGCTATCTTTACTTTTTTCATTGTTTTTTCTTTTTGCTGCTCTGAATGGGTGAGTTCCACTGCCTTGTCTTTGAGTTGACTGATCCTTTCTTCTGCTTTATCTAGTCTGCTAGTGAACCCATCTAGTGTATTTTTCAGTTCAATTATTATATTCTTTAGGTCTGTGACTTCTATTTGGTACTTTCTTACATTTCCATCTCTTTGTTGAAGTGCTCACTGTGTTCATCCATTCTTTTCCCCAGTTTGGTGAGCATCTTTATAGACCATTATTTGAGCTCTTTATCAGGTAAATTATTTATCTCCATTTCATTAAGTTTTTTTTCCTGAGGTTGACTCTCTGTGTTGGTTTCTATATAGTAGATGAAACAGCCACTCCTCCCAGTGTTGAAGGAGTGGCCTCATGTAGGAGATGAACCTTGTCATTCAACCCTGCCTCAGCTCCTGGTTGTCTTTCAAACCTCTTGGCCTTGTCCAAGCAGCCTATTATATTTTTAATAGCTCCCAGTAGTTGAGGATGTGCCAAGACCTGTCAGTGTCCTAAAGGGGAGAATCTCAGCACATAGACTCAGGGTGACTGGAAGTGAGACCCTCAGGCATCAGTTTTTAAAGTATGCAAATATGTACATTCCTGTGGGACCACAAGCATAAACCTTGCTGGCCACCAGAGCCAGGCAATCTGGAGGTGTCCCCTGAGCAGCAGTTGCAGAAATCAGGGCTCCAGATGAGTGTCAAAGCTCTTTTCTGGGTGATATAGGTGAGCTGGAGCAAGGGAGAGCATCAAGATGGAGTCCACAGCTTATGTTCCTTGAGAGCAACTCCATAGGCCACTAATGTGTACCAATCCTGAAGCCTGCCTCTCAGGCTGAAGCTCCAGGATGAGCGAAGAGCCCTCCTTCACAAAAAGACTGGAGAGTGTGCCCCAGTCCACTGTCTGTGCAGTGCCCTAGGGGTGGTAGCCTGCCAAGAACTGTCCCTCCGATTGCCACAGTCCCACGAGACCCAGGAATACAAGCCACCCTGGCCACCAGAGCCATGCCATCAAGGGGTGTCCTCTGGTAGCATCCTCAAAACCCAGGGAACCAGACACAAAAAAGTACAGAGGCAACTACTTTTAACATGTTGAAATGTGTCTATTTTCATTTTTTGATAATATGCTTATTGCTCTCTCTTTATTCATCAGTTTTACAAATTATTAACTTTTATTATTCTAAACAAAGATTTTGCTCACTTATAGCACCCACACCTCCCTAGAGCCTCCCAATTTAGTTATATCCCAATTTTAAAAGATTTTATTTTTATACAATTTTTAAAGGTTACTTTCCACTTACCGTTATCACAAAATTGTTGGCGGTATTCCCCATGTTGTACAATACATCCTTGAGCCTATATTACACCCAATAGTTTTACCTCCCACTGCCTCACCCCTATATTCCCCCCACCACTGGTAACCACTAGTTTGTTCTCTGTATCTGTGAGTTGGCTTCTTTTTTGTTATATTCACTCATTTGTTGTATTTTTTAGATTCCACATACAAGTGATATCCTACGGTATTTTTCTTTCTCTATCTGACTTATTTCACATAGCATAATGTCCTCCAAGTCCATCCATGTTACTGCAAATGGCAAAATTTCATTCTTTTTTATGGATGAGTAGTATTCCATTGTATATATACACCACATCTTCTTTATCCCTTCATCTGCTGATGAACACTTAGGTAGTTTCCATGTCTTGGCTATTGTAAATAATGCCGCTATGAACATTCGGGTGCATGTATGTTTTCAAATTAGTGTTTTTGGGTTTTTTGGGGGGGAAGTTATATCCCAATGTTTGGTTAAGACAGGATTCAGGCTATATGTGATTATGGCTATGTAACCATTACTCCTTGTTGGTCCAGTAAGATTGTTTCTTTTCTTGCCCAACTTTTTGTTTTTCAAGAATTGATAATTGCCTCATCTTACTAGCTTTGTTTTTCTTTCATTTGTGACAAAGCCTTCCCATATTTTCCCCTCAATGTAGTTTTTCACATGCTTACATCTATCTTGATAATCTGTGCTTCATCTTTGTCTTGAAGCCATCTTCCCTGGAGCCCTCTATCCTCCTGTTCCAATACAGGCTGGTGGTATCAAGCTGGAAGCTACAAGGGAAAAGGTCTGGAGGCTCACAATTGTGTGCAGACTCATTTTTCAGTCCATTACCAAACCTCTGCCCTCTTCTATATCTTATATTCCCAACTCTAGAGCCTCCCTTGTTGGATTTATACAGAGAATATATCTTCTGTCCTCCGTGGGAGTGGGAAGGGATAACTTGGAGGCTTACTTCTTCACATACAGACCTCAAGCCTATCCCTCTATTTCCAGCTCCTCACTGTCCTCAGTATCTGTCACCTTTAATTCCTAAACCTTTATTTTCATTTTGTGTTTCCTTCTTTGTTCTGTTTTTTCTAATCTGCTTTCTTTCTGTCAGTATTTCCCACTGCTTTTCTTTTTTTTTTGGCTGCATTGGGTCATCATTGCTGCGCACGGGCTTTCTCTAGTTGAGGCGAGCTGGGGCTACTCTTCATTGCAGTGCGCGAGCTTCTCATTTGCGGTGGCTTCTCTTGTTGCAGAGCACAGGCTCTAGGTACGTGGGATTCAGTAGTTGTGGTGCATGGGCTCAGTAGTTGTGGCTCACGGGCTCTAGAGCGCAGGCTCAGTAGTTCTGGTATACAGGCTTAGTTGCTCTGTGGCATGTGGGATCTTCCCGGACCAGGGCTTGAACCCGTGTCCCCCACACTGGCAGGTGGATTCTTAACCACTGCGCCACCAGGGAAGTACCTCCCACTGCTTTTCTTTAACTTTAAATTATTTAAATGTTTAACCTTCATCTGTGGTCAGATATTTTCAGGTATAATATTATGTCTTAAGGTAGCAAATATTTTTTAAGAGTCTTAAAGGTTTTTTTTGTCCTTTGGCCTACTTCTCAGGGCTGTTTCTGGGAATCTATCCTAAATAATTCAAAACATGAAGAAAAATTTCTGTGAGAACCTATTCATTTTGGCATCATTTATAGTGGTGAAAAATCAGAAGCCACTTAGTTAACAGTAGCAGACATTACAGTACATTTGATAGATCTTATGTGGCTGTCAAAATCGATGACAAATGAAGCATAGAAAAATGTTTGAAAGTTTATGAAAAGAAGAAGTGGGATATAGATTTGAATGCATATTATTAGAGTGTTATGCATTTTTTATATGAACAAATGGAAGGGGGTGTTGTGTGGCATGATGCACTGATTCACTGAAGAGATGAATAACAGCTGTCCATGTGCCTCACTCTGTTCTAGTGGTTGCTTTAGTTACGAGTGGTGAATCTGACATAATCTCTTCTTTCACAGAGTTTACAGTCTAGCAGAGAATTATTTTCCAAACTTCTATAATGTGTCTATTCAATTTTTACAATTAAAGAGGTAGAGGAAAAGCAGGGATTGACTATTTCAGGTGTCAAATTTTGGCAAACAACATGAAAGAGCTGAGAATGGGTGCCTGGTAGGCCTGGTAATTGTAACTGTATCAATAGTTAGCTCTTGAAATGACAAAGATGGTATCTGACTGTCCTGTGGCTGGCTGTCTAGACCTATTTGGATCTGTTCTTGCCTTCATTCTTTGATTCAGTAGATTATCCAGCTGTATGGCCTCTGTGACTTTTATGATCAGAAACAACCTAGAATACTTATAATTGTATAAAATTGATCAAAATGACAGTATTTCACATCCTACCATTTGTGCCAGTGTGTTTGTTGCCTGTTTTAAACTGCTAGAGGACAGGGATCTTCTCTTATGAGTAATTTTATGTAACACCCAACACAATCATGTGTATTATGGAACTCAGAGAAATAGCCTTTGGTGTTATCGAGAGTGAAATATTGTTCATTTCCCTTAAACCTATAATCCCTGCATTTTAGAATGCCATAGGTGAGACATAAAACATTAAAGAAGAAAAAAGCTAAAGGCTAAACTACTAGCTTGTCCTTTTCTTTCCTTTTGAAAATCACAGTGATAGTGTTTTTGTGTTTTGTTTTTTTTTTACTTAAGGTAAATTTAAACCTGTTTTCCCTAAGAATCAATGAGTGCCTATTGTTTACTTTAAAGATGAGGCTGTTAAATATTTTTCACATGCCTTTCTTTGTTGTTGTTGTTGTTGTTGTTTTTTGCAGTACGCGGGCCTCTCACTGTTGTGGCCTCTCCCGTTGTGGAGCACAGGCTCCGGACACACAGGCTCAGCGGCCATGGCTCACGGGCCCAGCCGCTCCACGGCATGTGGGATTTTCCCAGACTGGGGCACAAACCCATGTCCCCTGCATCGGCAGGCGGACTCTCAACCACTGCACCACCAGGGAAGCCCTCACATGCCTTTCTTGATCCTCAGATCCCCTTCCCTAGTTCTTTCTTATGTGTGTCTGGATGGTCTGTTGTAGGTGGCCACAAGTAGCCGAGTTTACTTATTTGACATTTTCCTTCTGGGAAGTCGTGTTTTCAGCAATGGACTTCAGATAGTATTAGAAGACAAGAGAATTTTGAAGGTGAGTGTGTAAGTTGATTCATCTGCTAGTAAGAATAACAGCCAGGTTCTAATAACTCTTTCTCTGTCTTCTGATTCCTTAGGTTATCCATGATTGTCGTTGGCTTTCTGATTGCCTCTCTCATCAGTATGGAATTTTGCTGAATAATGTCTTTGACACCCAGGTACATGCAGGGAAACACTGGAATCAATGCAGTGTATATAGCTCCTGTAGAAAATAGGCCTTATCTGATGAGTGATTGAAAGTCTTCTTGTGTGTGCCTCATTCCCGCCCACTTCTCATGTAAGATGTTTGTACAATATGTGAGAACATTTGGTGCACTGAAGAAGTACTGGAGAAAAGTTACTTGTAATTATTTAGGGTTTTTTCCCTTCATTTTGCTCCAGAAATTTTCAAATAAGAAGCAAGCTCCATACTCTGTAGCATTCAGAAACTCAAACAATTTTGGGGTCATTTGGAAATCTGACATGGATTCTTACTGTGAGGTGGACAGTCAGTCACGTCTATGCCTTTACCACATATGTATCGGTTAAGGCTGATGGCTAATTGGCATCTAGCTCAGGGATGCAGGTTGTCCTAGATGTTCCCCCAAAGCCTATACTGGCCCCAGATAGCCTGAAGATAAGCAGTTTTTCTCTGATCTAAAGGACCTAGAGAAATGAGAAATTCCCAGATTATACTAGATCTGGGTTTCTGGTTTGGCTGTGAGAGCCATAAACCCACTAGTTTTCATTATGTATTCTTTAAGTTCTTCTAGTCTTCTAGGTTAATGCCATGAAAGGGAGATCTTGAATATATAAACCTAGAGCCTTTGGAGAGGGGTTAAAATAATGAGTTAGCCAATTATTTTTTAACAGAAATTCCTAAAAGTTCAACTTTATGTTATTGTATGTGGTTTAAGTTTGCTCTTTATGTATCTGCTTGTAATGAACTTTGTGCCACTTCTCTTGTTTACATGTTCCTTTGGGTCTTCTTTCAAGAGCATTCACTATATAGAGATTGCTTCTATGCTTACTCCAAAATGTAACACAGTTGCTCATTGTTCCCTTGAGGCCATCAGGCTTCTTGATTAGACCTAGTATGTATTGTCTAATGAAGACATTGGCATATCTTTCCATATTTTTCTTTTCAGATTTTCATAGTACAAGAAGCAGGAATTCAGAATTATTTCAATTTGTTTTCCTTTAACACAGTGTATTAGTTTCCTATTGCTGTTGTAACTAATCACCACAAATTTTGTGGCTTAAAACATAAATTTAGGACTTCCCTGGTGCCGCAGTGGTTGAGAGTCCGCCTGCCGAAGCAGGGGACACAGGTTCGTGCCCTGGTCCGGGAAGATCCCACATGCCGCGGAGCAGCTGGGCCTGTGAGCCATGGCTGCTGAGCCTGCGCGTCCGGAGCCTGTGCTCCGCAACAGGAGAGGCCACAAGAGTGAGAGGCCCACGTACCGAAAAAAACAAACAAACAAACAAACACATAAATTTACTCTCTTACAGTTCTGGAGGTCAGACATCTGAAATCATTTGCACTGGGTGAAAGTCAAGGTGTCAGCAGGGCTGGTTTCTTCTGGAGGCTCTGAGAGGACAGTCTGTTTCCTTGCTTTTCAGCCTTCACCTGTGTTCTTTGGCTTGTGGCTCCTTCTATCTTCACAGTGCACCAATCTCTGCTTTCATCATCACATCACCTTCTCTTCTGGCTGTAGTAAAATCTCCCTCTGCCTCGTCTTATAAGAATACTTGTGATTACATTTAGGGCCCATCTGGATAATTCAAGTTAATCTCCCTATCTCGATATCCTTAACTAATCACAGCAGCAAAGTCCATTTCGCCATTTAAGATAACATTCACAGGTCCAGGAATTAGGATGTGGATATATTTGGGGGCTGTTATTTAGCCTACCACACACAGACAAATAATGATTGCAATTCTTAATTTTATTAGCTTTCCTTACCAAAACTTTACCAGAGTTGCTAATAAGTAGAAGTAATTCTTTAATTTTATCTTCCTTTCCCCATTCCTTGAAGGCACCAAAGAGTAATAATCATAAGGCAGGCAAATAAAAGAAGTGGAAAAGAAAATAGACAGGGACACATTAAAGTTGGGTGATCCTTTTTCTTTTTCTTTTCTTTTTTTTTTTTTATAATTTTTCAGAATAAGATAACCTAACAACTTTAAATTTTCTAATGGCATTGTCTATCATGTGGGTCCTTGGGAAAAATGGTATTTAAAGATGTTTCTCTAAATGTATTTCTGCTATTTCTGTCATGAGATAGCTCTCTGTATATATCCTACAGACTGGTCTGTTTGTCTTTTTTTAATGCCACAGGTAGCAGATGTCCTTCAATTTTCCATGGAAACAGGCGGCTTTCTTCCAAACTGCATTAGTACTTTACAGGAGAGTTTAATCAGACACCTTAAAATAGCCCCTAAATATCTCTCCTTTCTGGAAGAGAGACAAAAACGGATTCAAGTGAGTATTAACGTATGTCCCATATAACATTAATATTTTCAGGTGTCTTGTGAGTGGGATTATCAGCATATTATATAGAGAAATGACAGCTGCTGTGTAAGCGTATGAACATTGCCAAAATCTTAGTTGTTCCAAATGGGAACAGTTTGTTTGTGGTCTCAAGTGGAAAAAAGCCAGCATCCAGATTTGTTGGTTATCAATTAAAAAGTACTCTGAAATAAATTTTCAATTGGACAAGTGGGGATTTTATTGGGAATTTGGATTAAGGCAGTGGAACAAAAATCATGCCAATTATTTCTCCCAAAGTAAGATAGATTTTCTTCAGCTTCTAATAGCCTTGCATGCAAACTTAGGTCATGACCGTATTGGCTGCAATTTTGGCCATATAATCTAATCAGTCCTGCTGCCTCCAGTTTTGAATGAGAAGCCCTGATCTCTCTCTCTCTCTCTTCTTCCCTCCCTCCCTCCCCACATCTTTCCCCCATCACATACACACACTCACTGTATACACACAATAAATGTGTGTATGTGTATGTGTGTATATTCTCAGAAGGCTAGCCATAGTGTGAAAGTAGAAGGTAATAATTGAAGAAAATGACAGTAATGGTGATTTAAGTTAAGCAGCACTTAGATAAACCATTATTTTCTTTAAAGATTTGCTTACTATTCAGAGAAAATTGTTTTGGTGTCTCTAGGAAAACCCAGAACTATGGTTCGCACGACCTCTTTCACCCTTTTTGCTAAAAATTTTGGCCTTGGAAGCTACCTACCTGCTGCCCCTTCGCTTGGTACTCCTAGATGAAATGATGTCTGATCTAACTACCCTGGTGGATGGGTACCTAAACACCTACCGAGAAGGGTCTGCAGACTGGCTGGGAGGCATGGAGGTAGGTGCCACTCTCTGTGGCTGTGTTTTCAGGACCTCTGTGTCCTCATGGGGGCCACAGTGATACCCACTGTTCACAGCTGCACCAAATTTCTTTCAGCAGATTTGATGATAAATATTCTTGAAGCGGCTATAGCTTGGGCTTAATTCAGCTCCTTAAGCACTTTTTTTCTATATATATATATATATTTTATGATCACTGACATTTATTTCATATGATGCAACTGGTGATGTGCATTTCAATAAAACTAAAAGTTGATGTGCTAGAAGTCCTAACTCCTTTCTTAAATATTGTACCAATTTTCTCACAATATTAAGTTATGTTTCCAGTAAATATATCTTTCAAAGAAAGGGTAAATTTCATTAGTTATTTTTATGAAGCCAGCACAATATAAGAAAACTTATATTGTTGGCAAACTATTGCATTAGGCCAAATCTGGCCCATGGCCTATTTTTGTAAAACTCACAATCTAAGAATGATTTTTATAGTCTTAAAGGATTGTTAAAAAAAAAAAAGTATGCTTGTGGCTTACAAAGCCTAAAATGTTTACTATTTGACTCCTTACATAAAAAGTTCACAGGCTACTGCTATAAACAGTTCTCATTTAGGAATACTGATGCAAAATCCTAAATAAAATAATAGCATTTTTGGTACAAACTCCACTTAGATATATTATACTTTTCTATTAATGTGTCTCTGGATTCTAGTTACAAGCATGGTTTAATATTATATTAATATTTATTAATATTTAATATTATATTAAATTCTGTATTTTATTGGGGCCAAGAAAGTCTTATGATTATCTCATAAATGCTGAAAAAGTTCTTTTGTAACTTTTTTATATTTTGCTCTCACTGTTTAACAAGAAAAGATCAATGTAAAAATCCTTTCATAGTTTGCTTGATTGGAGAATTTTAATGTTTTTCATTTATCATTGTAAAGCCAAGGACAATTTTTTAACTTTTTAATATTTTGTTCTCACTGTTTATTGCTGAAAAAATTTGATAATATTCTATATACATTATTGATTAAAGTTGGAATAGGTACTTTAACATGATAAAACATATATCTCAGGCAAGAAGACTACCTAATATTTGATTGGGAACATCAATATCAAGAAATATACAGAAATGGTGACTATCACCACTACTTTAATACAGAAATGGTGACTATCACCACTACTTTAGTAGTTTCTGAAGCTATTAGCCAGTGAGGTTAGAAAAAAAAAAAAGATGAACTATAAAAATTGAACAGGAGGAATAGGAATGATGACTTGCCTATGATATACCTGAATACTGAAGAGAATCAATTGAAAAAGATTGCCAAAAACAAAAAGGCAGTTTAGGGCTTCCGTGGTGGCGCGGTGGTTGAGAGTCCGCCTGCCGATGCAGGGGACACGGGTTCGTGCCCCGGCTCGGGAAGGTCCCACAAGCCGTGGAGCGGCTGGGCCGGTGAGCCATGGCTGCTGAGCCTGCGCGTCCGGAGCCTGTGCTCCACAATGGGAGAGGCCACAACAGTGAGAGGCCCGAGTACCGCAAAAAAAAAAGGCAGTTTAGTAAAATAGGTACAAATATAACATAAAACTTAATAGCTTTCCTATATCCCTGTACACAACTACAGAATATAATGGGGGAAAAATTCATTTATAATTGTAACAAAAAATAGATTATCTAGAAATAAATCTAACAAGAAATGTGAAATATAGAGACGAAAAAAATGTTAAAGTATTACTGAATGGCATAAAAGAGGACTTAAATGAATGGGGACATTAAGTATTTTTGGCAATCAGTTATTCCTAAATTAACTTTAAAAAAAAATTAGTTTATTTATTATTTATTTTTTTGGTTGCATTGGGTCTTTGTTGCTGTGCACGGGCTTTCTCTAATTGCAGCAAGCGGGGGCTACGCTTCGTTGTGATGCGCGGGCTTCTCATTGCGGTGGCTTCTCTTGTTGTGGAGCACAGGCTCTCGGTGTGGGGGCTTCAGTAGTTGTGGCATGTGGGCTCAGTAGTTGTGGCTCACGGGCTTAATTGCTCCACGGCATGTAGGATCTTCCCGGGCCAGGGCTCAAACCCGTGTCCCCTTCATTGGCAGGTGGGTTCTTAACCACTGTGCCACCAGGGAAGCCCCCTAAATTAACTTTTAAATTTAACTTTCTTTTAAGAAAAATGCTAAAGCCATAATTACTTTGGCAAACTGTGATTATAGTGTTTATAGACATAAATAAGAATAGTCCTGTCAGATATTAAAACATATGTCTACACTAAATATGAGCGGTACATGTATAGGCAGATCGATGGAATAGAGAACCCAGAAATAGATCTCATATATATCAGTAATGGTTGAGATAAAGGTAAAATTTCCAATCAATGAGAAAAAGATAAGTATTTAGTAAATGGCCTCAGGCAATTGACTAACCATTGTGGGGGAGGAGAATCAGAGTTGGATTGTTATCTCTTTCTGCTACACCAAAATAAATCCCATGGATCAAGTATTTATGTAAGAACTAGAATTATAAAAGTATTGGAGGGGCTTCTCTGGTGGTGCAGTGGTTGAGAGTCCGCCTGCCGATGCAGGGGACGTGGGTTTGTGCCCCGGTCCGGGAAGATCCCACATGCCGGGGAGCAGCTGGGCCCGTGAGCCATGGCCGCTGAGCCTGTGCGTCCGGAGCCTGTGCTCCGCAACTGGAGAGGCCACAGCAGTGAGAGGCCCGCGTAAAAAAAAAAAAAAAAGTATTGGAAAAAAAGTATTGGGACTTCCCTGGTGGTCCAGTGGCTAAGACTCCGCACTCCCAAAGCAGAGGGCCTGGGTTCCATCCCTGGTCAGGGAACTAGATCCCACATGTGGCAGTGAAGATCCCATGTGCTGCAACTAAGACCCAGTGCAGCTAAATAAATAAGTAAATAAGTAAATAAATATTTTTAAAAAGTATTAAAAGAAAATTATGTCACAGTAGGGAATATGTCCCCTCCCCCAACTTTACTGAGGAATAGTTGACAAAATTAATTGTGTATATTTAAAGTGTACATTGTGATGATTTGATATACATTGTGGAATGATTACCAAGATCAAGATAACTAACATCCATCACCTCATAGCTAACTTTTTTTTATGTAGTGAGAATGCTTAAGATCTACTCTCAGAAACTTTCAAGTATATAATACTGAACTATTAACTGCAGTAACCATGCTGTGCATTAGATCCTCAGAACTTATTCTTCTTATAACTGAAAGTTTGTACCCTCTGACCTACATCTCCCCATTTTCCTCTCCCTCAACCCCTGGGAACCCCCATTCTATTCTCTGATTTCATGAAATCAGATTTTTGTTTTTGTTTTTTAAGATTTCATATATAAGTGATACTGTGCAGTATTTGTCTTTGTCTGGCTTATTCACTTAGCATAATACCCTCCAAGTTCAAACATATTGTTGCAGATGGCAGGACTGCCTTCTTTTTTATGGCTGAGTAATATTCTATTGTATAGAATATTGTATTGTGTAATGTATATACATCACATCTTTATCCATTTATCTATTGATAGACACAGGTTGTTTACATATTGTGAATTATGATGCAGTGAACAAGGGAATGTACATATCTCTTTGCGATCCTGTTTTCATATGCTTCAGATATGTACCCAGACGTGGGATTGCTGGACCATATAATAGTTCTATTTTTAATTTTTTGAGGAACATCCATGTTGTTTTCCACTGTTTTACATGGTAATGTAAATTGCATCAATTTACATTCCGATCAACAGCATATGAGTTCCCTTTTCTCCACATTCTCACCAACACTTGTTATCTGTCTTTTTGATAATAGCCATCTTAACAGGTGTCAGTAACACCTCATTGTGGTTTTGATTTGCATTTCCCTGATAACTAGTGACTTCGAGCACCTTTTCATGTACCTGTTGGCCATCTAAATATCTTCTTTGGAAAATTATCTATTCAGGTCCTTTGCTCACTTTTAAATTAGAGTATTTGCATTTTTGCTATTGAGTTGTATGAGGAAATGCTTTTCTATGCAATACAGAAATACTCAGAACTCATAAAAGATGAATAAATATGACTTTAAAAGTTTTGTATGGCGAAAATACTGTGAACAAAGTCAAAGGGAAAGCAACCTAGGAAAAATTATTTGCCTCATGTAACAAAGAGGACATTTTCTTAATATATTCTTTATTGTAGCATTTATGTAATGACAAAATACTGAAGACAACCCAAATATCCATCCACAAGGGTTTGGTTAAACAAACTATTGTATATCCATACAGCCATTAAAATTGCCAATATGGAAAAATCTCCAAGACAGAATTTTTAGTTGGAAAAATCAAGAAGAATATATAATATTATGTAGCCACTTGTATAAAATAATTTTAGAAAGAGTTATCAAAATAAAAAGTTGGGGGAAAATAAAAATTGAAAAATATAATCCAATGAATAGATAAATATTTAGTAAGGGATCATATATGCAAAGACTGTCTCTGGAGGCTACAGAAGAAGCTGCTTTTTAGAGGATGCACCTGCTAAGGCAGTTGGGGCGAGGTTGGAATGGACCCTTACTTTTCATTGTATAATCTTTATACATACACACATGCACAACATACACACAAAATTGGATTAAAAATATTTAAATTACTTGAAAAATAGTACTACTATAGTTGAAGACACTAGAGGGTGCTATAAGAACACATTTGAATAGACCCTTGCTTGCCAAATACTAAGTGTAGTAGAAGTGATTTTAAAGTGATTTTAAGGACCACATTCAGAAATTTAGTTATAGTAGACTTGTGTTCATTTTCTTTTCTTAGCGTACATGTATGGAGCTCCCAGAGGAACTGCTTCGACTGAAGGACTTCCAGAGACAGCGCAGAGAGAGAGCTGCAAAAGAATATAGAGTAAATGCGCAGGGACTCCTAATAAGGACAGTACTACATCCAAAGAAGTCTATGACAGAGACAGCAGGGAAAAAGGGAAAAGTAAGAGGTTTCTTACTTTGTAAAAATTCTAGGCTAGATAAAGCTCCAAATTTTACATCTCACAAGGATGTAAATTTGCTAAAAGAAGAATCTAAGAGTAAGCAAACCACAGCGGAATCTCAGCATCTACCTCCCATAAAGGAAGAAGTCAGTGAAGATTCCAGTAACAAACGAATTTGCCCTGAGTCAGAGGGGTTTAAGGACCAGAGAATAACTCTAAAAGAATACCTCAAGATACCTAAACAAGAGTTTCAGACAAATTTATCTTTGAAAGAGGAGATAGAACAGTTACTGATGGTGGAAAACAAGGAAGATCTAAAATGTACAAAACAAGATGTTTTAGTGTCTCCTTCCCTTCCTCAGGAAACCAGAGTGTCTCCAAGTGACATTTTTCATCCTTTTAGAAAAGCTGTGCTTCCCACACTTCCTCCCTGCCCAGCTTTGGAGAAGACTGATTCCTGGATAAATCCAGATTCTCCCAATCTGCCTTAGAGATCTGCAGTTTGTTCTTGAGGCCAATAAAGGTGGCTTATTTCTTCTGCCATCAAGGCCTTCCTCAGTGCTTAAGTTTCTTGTGCTGTAAATTAGTCACAGGCTTTGGGGGAAATTATATCCTCTTGCTTGCTCCTATATTCTTAGAATTTGATTAGGATGGGAATGAATAAGTTAAATAATGGAAGAAGTAAATGTTCTGATTATGTCACTGTGTAGAAATGTTCCCTGTGGCCAAACTGAATTACTTCTCATAATTTGGGTTTAAAGGATTTGAAGAAGGGAAAAATTTTGGACTTAGTGTCTGGAAGAATCTATACTTGAAATTTTTTGTTGTTTTTTCTGGTTTGAAGGATGTTGGTAAAACTCTTAGCCATAAGTTTAAAAATATTAGTACCTGACAACTTTACCTGTACTTTTTTCCTTTTTAGAATATTAACTTTGTCAATTATACCTCAATAAAGATGAAAAATATTAACTTTATTTTTGAATTTTAAATGTTTGGTCTGTCTTATGTCATAGACAAACAATAGTTTATGTTATTACAGGAATCAATATCCCAGTTTTAATTTCTTTTCATTCCATTTACTTTTAGAGAGTTTTGTCCATTTCCCTAACAAAGCAGGGCCTTCTTTAGAGTATGTCTATTATGTAAACTTGAAGTTTGATTCCACTATATTTGCCTGGAGTTGGTATGCCTTCTTAGGGTGAAAGGAAGGTAGCCTGTACTGAGCCCTTTTTATGTTGAATACTTGCAAGTTGCTCATTCTTTTGTGTATAATAACCAGTAAACCTGGTTGGTATTAGGTTATCTCTCACTTTTCTTCATTGGGTCAGGGTAGGAATAAATTGGAATGTGTCTGCATTTCTACGTCTAGAATCCAGTGAGAAATCTGTAACTTTTTTTTTTTTTTCCGGCCCTGCACGGCCTGTGGGATCCTAGTTCCTTGACCAGGGATGGAACCTGGGCCACCTCAGTGAAAGCACCGAGCCCTAACCATTGGACTGCCAGGGAATTCCCTAGAAATCTGTAATTTGACTGTTATACAGGCCTCTACTACTTAGGGGAGACAGGGACAGTCTATAATTAGGAACATCCTTGTCTGTGTTCATTGATTCTATCATGAGTACCACTGAAAGAACAGCTGTGTCTTCCAAATCCCAGAGCCCAGATCTGGTCTAAGCTTAAGATGAAGGCAGGACTAAGAGCAGTCAGCTCAGCCCTGCAGTTGCTGTCCCTCACTTTGTCCATAGTTTAGAAGGTCATTGGAGGCCAAGGTGGTTTCTGGTTCATTCTGGGTGAATGTGTTTTCAGGTTGAGCCCAGAAAGTGGTTAATCTAGGTTTACTCTGGGAAGGGCATGAATTTCTGTGAAATTCATAGAATTGATTTAGCTTCTTATGGAACCATACCACACACAATTTTTATACATACATACGTGTAAATATACAGGCTACAAAGAAAAATGTGACATTCTTCATATTTAAAAAAAAGGATTCTTCTTTCATTATGTATTTTGTGACTAATAAAGAACAGGATTCTGTTGGACCTTTGCTGTACTGCTCAATATGGTAGTTATATGTGGCTATTTAAAATTAAATTGATTAAAATGAAATAAAATTAAGAATTCAGTTCCTCAGTTGCACTTGCTATATGTCCAATACTCAATAGTTTCATGTACCCAGTGGCTACCATATTGAACATCACAGATATAGAACATTTCCATCATTCCAGAAAGTTCTATTGGACACTGCTATTTGAGAAGTACTTTGACTCTCAGAACTAAATGAGCCTTCCGAGTTTCATCACAATATTTTCTTAGTGAAACGGTCACATAACTGGAACTGCATTTTTCTCCATATTCTAGCCTGGAGTGCCTACCTAAATTCTATGTGCTCAGATCCAACCATGAACTTCTGTCCTTTGCTGGATAGAGTGAAAAAAAAATCCCTGGGTTCTTCAAGCCCTGCTGCTAGTGCTCTGTGCCATTGCCATTACTTAGATTTCTTATCTAAATTTTGCTCAGATTTTGGAAAATCTTTGGTTCTTGACCCAACCAGTTGTTGAGTTCTTACTCTATATTTTTCTAGTTGAGAGTTTATAAACCATACTGCCTGCTTTTCCAAATTCTTGGAGTCTTGCTTCAGTCTACACTGAATTCCTGCATCTGTCCTACTCAGGTCTGACCTTTCTGTACATGATCTGCAGTTAGAGATTCTCACAAGCAATCTGATCCTTTTAATTTGGGAATTAGGAAACAGAGTTAAATGACTTCCCTGAAGAAAAGTGCTGCACTGAGAATAGAACCAGTGTTTCTTACCTCTTGGTCCATTCAGTGTTCTTTCAACTATAGTATGAAAAATCATTGCAGCAGCTTTGCCTCCAGTCTGGCTGTGAGCTTGATAAAGCCTAACATGACACAATATAATTTTAATACACTGGGACTTCCCTGGTGGCACAGTGGTTAAGAATCCACCTGCCAATGCAGGGGACATGGGTTCGATCCCTGGTCTGGGAAGATCCCACATGCCGTGGAGCAACTAAGCCCGTGCACTGCAACTACTGAAGCCCGCACACACTAGAGCCCACGTGCCACAACTACTGAAGCCCATGCACCTAGAGCCTGTGCTCTGCAACAAGAGAAGCCACCACAATGAGAAGTCTGTGCACCCCAATGAAGAGTAGCCCCGGCTCGCCACAACTAGAGAAAGCTCATGCACGGCAACGAAGACCCAACGCAGCCAAAAAAAAAAAAAGAATTTTAATACACTATAGCCCTGTCGTTGTTTTGACACAAGGCAAGTCACAGCAGCAAGCCAAGATAAGGCTTGGTGCATACTTGGGGAGCTGAGGGTGATTAGCCAGATGTACTTATCAAAAAGGCATTTACTATAAAGGTGACATCAATAAATACCTTACAGGGCTTCCCTGGTGGCGCAGTGGTTGAGAGTCCGCCTGCCGATGCAGGGGACACGGATTCCTGCCCCGGTCCAGGAGGATCCCACATGCCATGGAGCGGCTAGGCCCGTGAGCCATGGCCGCTGAACCTGCGTGTCCGGAGCCTGTGCTCCGCAACGGGAGAGGCCACAGCAGTGAGAGGCCCGCATACCGCAAAAAAAAAAAAATAATAATAATAAATAAATAAATAAATACCTTACAGAAAAATTTAGAAAATAATGAGAAAAAAATACTCAACTATCATCCTACATTATACAACCCTTCCTAGCATTTTGGCACTTTTCTTTCAATTTTTCCTCTCTCATTCTCTATCTCTCTACACACACACCATCACAACCATACCGTAAATACATTTATTGTGTTTTTTATATCAAGTATTTCTCCATTTTATAATCCTAACAACCAACATTTTAAACAGATGTTTCATTTTTAAATTAATATGCTATCAAATAGAATTTGGAAAATAGAGGAAAATAAGAAAAAAATTACTCATTTCTCTAGCCCAACAGAAAAATCAGGTAATATTTTTGTTAATGTCAGTGTTTATGCATAGATTTTACCCTCTACATAGTTATATATATACACTCTACTTTATGAATGTTTTCCTATGCTGTTATACACCCTTTGTAAAGATTTTTTAAATATATTTTTTTAAATTTATTTTTGGCTGCGTTGGGTCTTCATTGGTGCGCGTGGGCTTTCTCTAGTTGCAGCGAGCAAGGGCTACTCTTCCTTGCGGTGCGCAGGAGGTGGCTTCTCTTGTTGTGGAGCTCTAGGCGTGTGGGCTTCAGTAGTTGTGGTGTGCAGGCTCAGTAGCTGTGGCTCACGGGCTCTAGAGCGCAGGCTCAGTAGTTGTGGCACACGGCCTTAGTTGCTCCATGGTATGTGGGATCTTCCCAGACCAGGACCAGCGATCGAACCCGTGTCCCCTGCATTGGCAGGTGGTTCTTAACCACTGTACCACTAGGGAAGTACCAAGATTTTTTTTTTTTTCTGCACGGCTTGTGGGATCTTAGTTTCCTACCAGGGATCAAACCTGGGCCCTCAGCAGTGAAAGCGCAGAGTCCCAACCACTGGACCGCCAGGGAATTCCCAAGACTTTTATGACTACATAATATTTCTAAGCGGATACACCATGGTTTACTTAGCTCTGTTTTGGTATATTCAGGGTGTTTCCATTCCTTATTTCCTGCATTTTCCATGTTTTGAATCATTTTGTCAGAATGAAATTCCAGAAGTAGGTCAAAGAGGTTTTCTTGGTTTTGTTTTTTACAGCTCTTGCTAAGTTACTTTTCAAAAGTGTTAACCAATTATATTGCCACTCCAATTTTTGTAGTAATGATGCACCATTGAGAGCATTAGATTTTTTTCTTGAGAGGCATTGCATGTTTTTGACTTTCAAAATTCTAACTTCTTTATCCATAAACCTGAAAGGTTTCCTGTCATTTTTTGTAACTTACCTGCATTAGATACCATGAAGATTAATGAAAACATACATACTGGGAATATTTGAATTCTGATAAATGTCCCTGATCTCTAAGTAAGGACATTATTATGGGTAAAATATTTTAATCATATAAACCCTAAAATAAAACCAAAGTCTATATACTCATGATGAAAGACATCTTTGAAATGTCTTGGAACTCTCATCAGGGATGTCATAGAAAATGATATTTATTGTTATACGAAATGAGAAAGAATCTTAGCTAAATCGCTAGGTTTACCCTAAGACAAAATTTAATACATTCTATTCCACATACTCAACAGGAGTTGAGCCTGTAACTCTATAATTTAGTAGATCTCCTTAAACAGGAAAAGCTGTCAAATTGTAATCAGGGCATAATTAGCAACCCAATCTTAATATATATATTGCAAATAAAAAATGTCAAAAAAAATGTCGAAACTGTGCTTCAATTTAGTCAGTCATGAACAGCATTTCTTAAACAATGGAATAGAATAGAGAATATCAGTGCATTATACATAGTAAAGAAAAGTATCATTTTGTGAAACTTTTTTTTCTCTGTTGTATGCTAGAGTATGTGTACTTTTACTATTGGTTGCAGTAAAAAGCAGCTCAAGATAAGCATAGAAGGAAACTTGCATCTTTAAATACTTACACAATAAAACAAGAAAGATCTAAAACCAGTGATCTCAGCTTCCATCTTAAGCTAGAAAAGGAAGAATAAATTAAACTTGGGCTAAGTAGGATGAAACAAATAATGATAAGAATAGAAATCAACGGGCTTCCCTGGTAGTGCAGTGGTTGAGAATCTGCCTGCCAATGCAGGGGACACGGGTTCGAGCCCTGGTCTGGGAAGATCCCACATGCCGCAGAGCAACTAGGCCCGTCAGCCACAATTACTGAGCCTGCGCGTCTGGAGCCTGTGCTCCGCAACAAGAGAGGCCGCGATAGTGAGAGGCCCACGCACCGCGAGGAAGAGTGGCCCCCACTTGCCGCAACTAGAGAAAGCCCTTGCACAGAAACGAAGACCCAACACAGCCCTAAATAAATAAATAAATAAATAATTTTTAAAAAGAATAGAAATCAATAAAATTAAAAGTGGAGAGGGCTTCCCTGGTGGCACAGTGGTTGAGAGTCCGCCTGCCGATGCAGGGGACACAGGTTCGTGCCCCGGTCCGGGAAGATCCCACATGCTGTGGAGCAGCTGGGCCCATGAGCCATGGCCGCTGTGCTCCGCAACGGGAGAGGCCACAACAGTGAGAGGCCCGCGTACCGCAAAAAAAAAAAAAAGAAAAGTGGAGAGAAAAAATCAATAAAACCAAAACCTGTAAGATCAGTAAAATTGTTGAACTTTTACCCATACTGACCAAGATTTTTTTTAAAAAAGGCACAAATTACCAATATCAGAAATGAAAGATTATTATTACAGATCCTGTATATATATATATATTAGAAGGATAGGGACTTCCCTGGTGGCGCAGTGGATAAGAATCCGCCTGCCAATGCAAGGGACATGGGTTCGAGCCCTGGTTCGGGAGGATCCCACATGCCATGGAGCAGCTAAGCCCGTGCGCCACAACTACTGAGCCTGTGCTCTAGAGCCTGCGAGCCACAGCTACTGAGCCCTTGTGTCACAACTACTGAACCTGGTGCACCTAGAGCCTGTGCTCCGCAACAAGAGAAGCCACCACAATGAGAAGCCTGAGCACCGCAATGAAGAGTAGCCCCCACCCACCGCAACTAGAGAAAGCCCACGTGCAGCAACAAAGACCCAACGCAGCCAAAAATAAATAATAATATTTTTTTTAAAAAAAAGGATAACAAGGGACTACTGTGAACAATTCTATGCCCACAAATTGAAAAACTTAGTTGTAGTGGACAAATTCATTGAAAAATACAAAATACCAAAACTGATTCAAGAAGAAATAGAAAACCTGAATAGTCCAAAATCAACTAAATGCATTGAATTCATAATTTAAAACCTTCCCTAAAACAAACTTTGTTCCCAGATAGCTTTTCTGGTGAATTTCTATCTAAGGAAGCAATAATACTAATCCTTCCAGGAAAAAAAAAAGGAAGGGTCACTTCCCAACTCATTTTATGAGGCCAGCATTACCATATACCAAAAGCAGACAACAAAATTGCAAGAAAAGAAAACTACAGATAAATATATCTTATGAACATAGACACTAAAGTTGCAACAGTAACAAAATGTTGGCAATATAATCCAGAAATATATAAAAATAATAATACATCATGACCAAATGGAGTTTATCCCAGGAATGCAAGTGTGGTTTAATGTGAAAATGTAATACATTGAATTAACAGAATAAAGGAGAAAGACCATGTGATTATCTCAGTAGCTACTGAAAAAATTTTTTTGACAAAATTTTACATCCATTCATGGTAAAACAAAAAAACTGTCAGCAAACTAGGATTAGCAGGGGACTTACTCTACTTAATAAAGTTCTTTTTTAAAAAACCTACTACTGACACCAAAGTCACGAGCCAAAAAAGAAAAAATAGACAAACTGGATTTTGTGAAAATTGTAAAAATTTGTGCACGAAAAGACAATATTAAAAGAGTAAAGGGAATTCGCTGGTGGTCCAGTGGTTAGGACTCCACTTCCACTACAGGACTGCAGGGCAAACGTGTTCGAGAGTCATGGTTGGGGAACTAAGATCTCACATGCTGCTCAGCCAAAAAAAAAAAAAAAAAAAAGCATAAAAAGACAACCCACAGAATGGGAGAATATGTTTGCAAATCATGTATTTGATAAGGGATTCAAAGCCAGAATATATAGAGAACTCCTAAAATTCAGCAACAAAAAGCCAAACAACCTGATTCAAAAACAAACAACAGACTTGAATAGACATTTCTCCAAAGAAGATATACAAATGGCCAATCAGCAAATGAAAAGATGCTCAACATCACTAATCATTAGAGAAATGCAAATCAAAACTACAATGAGATACCACCTCACACCCGTTAGGATGGCTACTATCAAAAAACAGAAAATAAATGTTTGAAAGGTTGTGGACAAATTGAAACACTTGTACACTGTTGGT